TAGGTGCGTTCCTCTAAGTCTTCCTACCAATATGACCAAGTTGCGAAAACAAGGTCAAACAACTTCTTTAGCATGGTTTGTTTACAAGCGGCTATAAAGCTAGCTGAGCTACGAACCAGAGAGAAAAGAATATGAAGTAATTACATGCATTTTAGCTATTGACAAAATATTTCGGGCGAGTATGGTGATTATACTACCATCGTTAAAGCATCTTCTGATAGGCGAGAAATAGTTTTTTATTAGATAAATGCGGTAAATTAGCTACATTCAATTTGTATCTCTTTGGAATGTGTAGATGAATAACAGAAACAATCTCGTGTTTGAGTTACAAACAGTGACAACAAATGAAAACATAAAAAGTGAAAATTGGGTAGGTAAGCCAGGAGGCTTTTGACTTCAAATAAACTGATAATTGAAGATAATTTAAAATGGTCTCGATTTATAAAGGCATGTAATAAAGGATAGAACTAAAGGTAACATAAGGTAATTCAGATTTGAAAGAGGATTCAAAGGAGGTACCTTCTCAGAAGTATCCTTTTCATGAGTAGAGAATGACAACGTCACACTTGTAGAAGTGGTGGCAACTGTGTTCCAACAGACTGATAGGCAATCACTGTCCAAGCCTTGATCGTCTACGTCAAAATCCTGGAGACTAGCAGGAGATTGGCTTTGTTTATAAATATTTGAATGTGACCATTGACAATTAGACGCGAGTTTCGGAATTGATGGTTTAGAGTTGAATGGGCTCTTGGCAAGCTTTGGGAAACGAGTTAGAGCTGGTGGCGACATAGAGTGAATTCCACTGCCAGTAAAAAGAGCCGGCGGCGTTGAAATGCAGTGGGGCTCAGTGTCAAATACATTAGGGGAGTGTACTACACTGGTCGACATTGTAGGCTGACTGGTAGTGACAGCACGGTTCCAGACCCCCTCGTTATACAGTAATTGGTGTCCACCATAATCACTGTTAAACCCTGCTGTTCCAAGGTGTGCAGGATAGAGCTCAATAGCAACAAAATACTCCAAGCGAATGAGATACTCCTCGAAGATTTCGCAGTCGTTGTGCCCGGCCTCCGGCAGAAACAGTGGTTGTAGTTTATTAGGAATAGCTAAGTAGAGTTCGCGGGCGTGCAAGTGGCTGATCACGTCATCCTGAATGCCGTGAATTATTAAAGTTGGTGAAAGAATTCGATGTGCTCGAGCCAGGCTGAGAGAGGACAAGGGTAAATGGATGAAAGCATGCAAATGGTTGTATTCATGCGGGGGAGTGAGAAGGGAAAAATCATCGGACACAGCGATTGAGAATGAATGAAGATAATCGGGAGCAATTTAGCATGCGAGGTAAATATGACAGTTAGACTAGAAATAAATTCGGGTAATATTAGGTGAAACGACACGAATCCATGCACAAACGAAATACTAAGACACAAAGGGAAGACAAAGATAACAGTTGTACCATCTTGGATAGGATCGACAGATTAATAGCTCAATTTCGAGAACTATCAGGAGACTTTAAAAAAGTAACCCTCCACAAATAAAAAAGGCAAAGATTCTTAATACTTAATTTAATACAAAAGAAAACTCTCATTCCTACACATATGTACAGTTAATTGTATTGCACTTTTTACATAAATGCTCAGGTTCATATAATGCACATAATTCGGTCAATAATATGCATAAGAGAAGTTGCGAAGTGGAATAGAAGCATACGTACGTATACATACGTATAACCAAATGCATTCTGAGAATCGTTAAGGCAAAAGACA